TCAGAGGGCAGCAGTGAGCAGGATCTTAGAGGGCCAGAGCAGGCCATCGCCATATGTACTGTTTGGGCCACCAGGTAAGTCGGATACTGTTGTCTGCTTCTTGAGGAGAGTCCATTTTAAAGAAGAGGGGTGTTTGCTTTAAGGAAACTTATGTCTTTTGTTTTGTCTAAATGTCTGGGTTCAGTAGTATTTTGTGCCTGTTTTATAGCAAGAAAGACATGGCTTATGTTTCTTACCCATACTTAATTTATTTGGATTACTATTAAATTATTTTCAACTTCTTTGTATAAAAGTTTAAATGAGACCTGCTTTTGGTCTAATTGGAAAGTTTTTTGACAACCAGCCTCAGGTACAGACAGTTATAACATTGGAGCATACATTTTAACTTAAAATAATGAATCTGATAACAACCATGATCATATGATAAATTTTTGCATCTAATACCAGAATTTATAAACAATCCAGGTACAGGGAAAACTGTCACCATGGTGGAGGCTATCCTGCAAGTACTTCATAGCATACCAGGCAGCAGAATACTTGCCTGTGCCCCATCCAATAGTGCTACTGATCTACTGGTAACTGATGATTTTAATTTTTTATTATCACAGTCTATGCAGAATAAATGTAGTGATTGATAAATAAACGTGGCTGAACTGCCTAATAGCTGACCTGAGAAAATAAAGTAGAACATAGTCATTTACTTAATGGTCAAGTTTTCTAGCAGAGTGATTAAATCAAGCTCTGTCATAATGTTTGTGTTTCACTCAGCTCTCACTTTGAGAACTAATCACCACCAATTTTGTATGTGGGGTACCTTAAGTATGAAAGGAAAGTGGTGATATTTCCAGGGAATATTTTTTATAAATTGTTTTTTCATTTTACTGTTTTATTATGCATTTTAAGCATAATTTTGATTGCAATTTGCCTTTTTCAGGCAGAGAAACTTCTTCAAAGTAACCTTGTAAATAAAAGCGATCTTGTCAGGTTGAATGCTTTCAACAGACTTGATGATGTAAGTAGTCACATGGAGTTACATTCTATTTTTTTATCTGCTTAATAATATTATTTATAAGAATTTAATATGGTTACATACAGCAGTTCAATTAATTTTTAAATATCGGTCATTTTTATAATTATAATTTTTTATACAAGTTGCAATATCATGCTTGTAACAAAAAATAAAATCAAAACTTATCAGGTGACGCTAGTTAAACCAATTTGCAGTTTAAGAACCATTTTAAATTAACATTCAGACATTGATTTGGAAATGTTATATTATGAAATATTGTGTCAAAACTGTTGTAAGAAATAATGTTGATTTTTTCTTTGAGAGCCCTGCTGTACACCAGTCTCAGTACTGCTGACTTAGAATTTGACTTTAAGAAAAAGAGTTTGAATTAAAAGATAATGTAAGGCTTTTAATATTTCTTACCAGATAAAATTGTCAACAGGTTCTTCTAAAAAAACAATTTTCCAAACAGGTGGTCCTATCATTTTTAACATAATTATATCATATTTATGATGCAGTTTCTCAGCAATGTGACCCCCTGTTTTCCAGAACATTCCAGAGTTCCTAAAGCCTTACTGTACAACGGGGGACAACCTGGAGGTGGCCTGCAGACACAGGGTGGTCCTCTGTACCTGTATCACGGCAGGACTCCTGAACACTGTGGGACTTAAAAGTGGTCACTTCACACACGCATTTATTGACGAGGTAACAGGGACTTTGCTGATAGTTCTTGTATTGAACGTGGTGCTTTAAGAGAACTAAAGAGTAGCCTGCTTTTTGATTTTGTTGCTCACGCTCAAATTATGGATTAAAAAATACAGTATCTGTAAAATTCACTATTTCCCCCACATTGAAAAGATGAAAGTAGTTACCATATATCACACCATATAACTGTCTTCATACAGGCTGGCCAGGCCACGGAGCCGGAGTGTGCTGTACCAATGAACCTGATGGTGGGGGAGGATTCTCAGGTCAGGGTCTCCTTAAAACAAAGCATTGTAAATTATATGTTTACAGTATCACAGTCACATCAATTTTCCCCCTTTTCTTTAATGCCAAATTATGTTTGTAAATTTCTCTTTGAATTTCTTGTTTTATTTATCTGGGCCTATCATTTTATAATGCCAGGCCACTTTTTATGTTTGATTAATAATAAAATACAATTGATTGGAATTTTTAAGGGGTCACACTTGTCAGAAAACATCAGGTTAACAATGAAACTATTGACAAACCAAGTTCTGTCATCTTGATGATCTTGGTAATCTAGACAGTTTTTATTACAAGCCACTCCTGCTTTCTGTTTGTCTCTTTTTCCTCTATATTTTTTTTCCAATTTGAAATGTTTCAGATTGTGTTAGCAGGAGACCCCATGCAGTTAGGCCCAGTTCTGAAGTCCCGCCATGCTATCACATATGGCCTCCAGTATTCATTCTTAGAGAGACTAATGGACAGCCCACTCTATGCTCGGGACATGGTCAGATTTGCTGACCATGGCAATTATGACCCGTTACTGGTAAGAAGGTGTTTGCTGCATCACTTATATCCTGTTGGAAGTTGTTGCTTTTGTTAGAGTGTATTTGTGTTATAGTAATGATTGTACTAATAATGAATATTAATATTATTATAAGTAGTAAAAGTATAACTGTAGTGTTTTTAATGACAAATTATTACAGCTATGTTTATGGGATGGAATAAGCCCAGTGATGTACTTTCATATTTTCAAAATGTTTACAAGTTTTTTGTCTGTTTTCAGGTGACCAAACTGGTACATAACTACAGATCTCATTTCAAACTGCTACAGGTGTCCTCAGAACTGTTTTACCACGGTGAGCTCAGAGAGTGTGGCAGCACCTCTGTGACCCACTGTTTGTGTGGCTGGGACAGGTTGCCCAATAAAGATGTTCCAATTATATTCCATGGATTGAGGGTAAGGAGAAAATGAAGGCAGAACCCAGTACTGAGTGCACTTTTCAGTCCAGTAGTCTCTTGGTCTAGACTGGTAGGACTCAGAAAAACTACCAATCAGGATGAAAACGAAGTGTTTTGGTCATGAGATCTTTAGATAAATTAATGAAAAATAGTCTAAAACTAAAAGTCCAGTTGGACTGTAAAGTTATGGGAACTTTGAAAAATATTTTTTCCTTTCTCCTATTTCCTGATTGACACTTACAACACTACACCATTGCCTCAGACCAGCATCTGATCTTGCCAACGCACACCTTCTTAAGTCTTTTTTCCTCAATATTTGCCTTAGTATATACACACACCACTTGTCAGCAAGGTGTATGTGACATCCACTCATGCTTCACACTGACTCATGGTTTATCTATAACTAACAAAATATAAGCTTGATATGGTTGTTATCCAGGGAGAAGACTTACGAGAAGGTAACAGTCCGTCCTGGTTTAACCCGGTGGAAGCTGTACAGGTGATGAAATACCTGCAGGCTTTGGTGAACAACCCGCTGTGTGCAATAACATTTAATGATATAGGAATAATAACTCCTTACAGAAAACAGGTATGGGAATTTCTCATGTAATTTACATAAAATTAGCTACTAAATTACATATATTTCCAGTAGAATTAAAAAAAAAAAATTAAATCCCCATTTTATGTATTTTTTGCAAAAAAAAAAAAAGTCCATTTCAAACTTTTTAATGCAGATATTTTTGTTGGCCTGTGCACAAGATATATTTCAGTTCTCTTTTGTTCTTCACTATTTAGTTACCTACAGAGAAAAGTTAAAATTGTTATGTTGATATGTTGCAGGTGGAGAAAATCCGGCTATTGATTGACAAGTTGGGGATGGAGAAGGTGAAAGTTGGAAGTGTGGAAGAGTTTCAGGGACAAGAAAGACGTGTTATTATCATCTCCACGGTAACTAACCATTACTGATTTAGGGCCTTAGCTGTTGTTAACACCAAGACTCATATTATTAAAAGTCACTGTAGTCCAATTTCTCCAGATAGTGCTATGCGTTATTTTGTTGTGAAAGGAAATATAATGTTTGTAATAATAATTATAATTTACAAAATTTTTTATTCTTCACGTACATAGATCTGAATGGGCTACCACAATTGTTTGCAGTCAACTTTTAAGACTTTAGGGATATTTTGTTTGTCAAGTCAGTGATGATATTAAAATTATATGGAAAATAAATCCTGAATTGGTTGGCCCTTTGCAAATTTATTTGTTGCACTTCAGTTCATTTAATTTCATTTGCATTATATTTAATGAGATTGCTGTGTTTGTCAACCAGGTGAGATCCAATGAGTCAAAGATGGGCTTTGATCGCAGGTTTAACCTGGGATTCCTTAGCAACCCAAAACGCTTCAACGTGGCCATTACGCGAGCCCAGTCCCTGCTGATAGTGTGTGGAAACCCACATGTACTGGCTCAGGTAAGGCAGGACCGTTTTATCCAAATGTATTCATTTTATTTATTTATTTATTTATTTATTTATTTATTTATTTATTTACAATAAATTGTTTATTCACTGATTACTGCAGCTGTACTTGAAATAATATTTTGATACAGTGTCTGTGTGTTAAGTAATTATAATATTCATGAACAAACATATGTCCAGAATGTGTGTGGCAGTGTTCTGAAGAGAAATTCAGTGTCCATTTCCCAGTAGTTATACCACAATAAGAGGACACTGAAAATGAGAAACTAGTAGTATGTTATTAATATATTAGTCAAATGTCAGCTTACAGTCTACAGCTGTTGGTATCGCTTCCTGTAAATATAACATCAATTTTTTTGGTGTGTATTTGCCTCATACTTAGAAAAATCAAATATGTGTGAAAAATCTATCTTAACTATGCAAAGAAATCATAAACCATATTGAGAAATAATGCACAAGTTGAATCAAAACATGTGAAACATATCTTTGAAAAGAAGTCAAAATGAATATAATCTGGCCCTGATATTATTCTATTTAGTACAATGCACTAATCAGGTGGGCAGTAAAACTTTTTAGTAATGGTGTTGACAAATTGCTAGGAGTCCATCTTCCCCAGGTTTTGGTCTTGGCTACATCCATATTGTATGATAACAGCTTAGTATGCTGCACAGGGGAATGGGTCTCCCTCATAATAAATTAATGTAACAGTTGCTAGTTTGCTGGGACTTGTAAATTAACATGATCGTTTTTCAATTATCAATATATACAGTCTTCAAACTGTGAAATTTTGATTTCAGGCCCATAGCCAGGAAGGTTGGGGGGGGGGGGGAACGAACTGCCCTTTTTGCTGGTCAAAGGTCTGCTCTGGGAAAAATTTGATCTGCATACACAAAGATTTCATGGTAAAAAGCCTACTTTTTTCAGAAAAAGAACTCCTCCTGTAAGATTCCTGGCTACTGACCTGTATTAAGAGAAAATCAAAGTACTGAAGTTGATTTATTGGGTTTGATAGTGGGCTGAACAAAACATCCATTTGTTTAATGGCAATCAACCACCCAGTGTCCTGTCAGTAGGTGTTCATTTATCATTTATTTGGCACATCGAGTGATAAAGCAAATGTATAATAAAAGGTTATGATGATAATCCTGCCTTAAAGTAATAAACCATTTAGATATTACAGTGATAAAAACATTTGCACAATTATGATTTCTTGGAAGAGGGCAAATTCATTAATGGAAAATGTTGCAGAGATAAAAGTGTTCTCGTTCTGCATCATCCATCGTTCAGTGATCAAACATTAACACAGGGATGTGACTTTCTATATATTATCGAATTTCTGACTTTGTGGAAGCCAAAATATATTTGCCTAGGCATAACATAAATTGATGACATAACAAAAAATGACGTAACAAAATTGATGACTGGGTCCATTTACTTAAGTCATGATAATGATCAGAGAGCTTTTATAAGTCAGGTGTAGATAGTGATTGATAGATAGAGAACTAGGATATATTATAATAGTGTCTTTTTTCAGTTTTGTTGCTAGCTCAGAGTGCTTACTAGCAGTCAGTGAATATTTGGTAATTATAAATGTGATTTGTGTCAGTTCTGATGTCTGAGAAATTAGGAGATGGGGCAATATATTATACACTCACACATGCAAACAATCACAGAATGAGAGAAAGAGGGAGAGTGGTCAGCATAGCCACATAATAGTTACCATTAACTACTTACAGAAACGTAATCACATCAGAGACAGAAATATGGAAGAGCATGACTAAATGATGGACCTATTTCAAGGATGAATATGCCTTCCTCAGATTTTCTACCAGAAGTGGATTATAATATCTTCGGGCCTTATTTTGAGTTCTCAGCAGCGGAAGCGTACATGTAACAAGTTAGATGAATTTGAAATGATAAGTGTTTAACCTGGACTTCGGTGGACCAAGTAGCTGAGTAGTTACTTAAAATGGAAACGTATTTTGACTCTCTTCCAGACATTTTTACCATAATAAACTTCATCATAATTTCTATAGGCATCATTGGCAATCTGCTTGTTTTGTTGATAATTATCTGCAGAAAAACTACAAGAACAAAGATGTACATTCTCATAGGGAACCTGGCTGTGGCAGACCTTTCTTTTCTAGCTCAACAAATGGTAGTCTTTGTCACAAAAATTCCAGAAAAAATATATTTTCTATATAACTACATGACATTTGTGACAGTCACTGTAAGCATCCACACATTGGTGCTTCTAGCTCTGGACAAGTTCATGGCACTTGTGCTGGTCTATACTTCTAGAGCATTTAAGACCACGAGAAACCTCTTCATCACTGTGATACTGTTGTGGGCTGTTTCAATAGTGGCCTTTTACATGCCCGTTACCGTCTTCTTTGACAGTCACCCAGGATTTGTCCATCAAAACGGTCCATACATGACCAGAAATCTCACGTTTGATATTGATACAACACCATACAGGATAACCCTGGCTTGCTTCTTTGTGTTTGACTTCATGCTCCCTCTTATTACGATGACTGTTATGTATTCGATGGTCATCCATCAGTTATTGTGCAAGGACAGGCCTAACCCTGGGAATATCTCGGCTGAGATGAAGGTCGTTAAAGACAAACAGAGACTCACTGTTGTAATGATGATTGTTACCGTTGTATTTGTCGTCTGTTGGTTCCCGAAGTGGGTGAATTTTTACTTACTGTTTTTCACGGACTTGGATGACAGAAATGAATCATACATGCTTTTTTTAAAATTTACTCATTTATTAGTGGTCGTAAACAGTGCCATTAACCCCATACTATATGCGTTTATATACGTGGACTTCAGGAGGGGTGTGGCTGTGCCTGTTGACTTTATGAGGAAGCTTTGTTGTAACAAATAATTATATCATGATGCTAAGTAAACATGAAGTTTACATTCAGTTTTTCATTGAGTGTTTTTATGAATATGTCAATTGTCAATTATGTAAATTTATATTCAGTTTAGGTTGCATGTTTTTATGACTACTCCAATGATTACAAATGGATGTTTAAGAGTTCTAACCCCCAATGGAATATTGTAAAATATATATATGTATGTATTGGATGTGTGCATTGAACAGTAGTTCAGTGTTTCTGAGTTTTAGCACAGTAAAATCAGCATCCATTATATACAGTGGTGTTTCTCATTGATTAATTGTATAATTTATACTGTTATAGGCACACAATGCTTGCTAGACCTTTACTTAACCAAAATGATCATGGAAGTTTTCCCCTTTATCACCAACGTATACCTTAGTTATAGCAGTGAAAACAATTATAATCTACAATGATCCCATTTTTAGTTTTAAATTGTAATTCATAATGTGTTGTGCCATAAAAAATAAAATTCTTCAGTTTCCATCTGCATTCTGAGAGTGACTCAAAAATCATAAACTTACTAGATGCAACTCAAAATTGGGTGTATGGCTTAATTGTAATTATGTGAATGGTTTAGGATATGTACTATAATATCAATTTGAAGGTGATAAATGCAAAAGTGTTGAGATTTCCAGGCAAATAAAAACCTTTGCTGCATCGGGGTCTATTGCTCATCATGTGTCTCCAAGGGGTGAGGGGAGGAAAAGGTCACTTGCTGACCACAAAAATGTGGCTTGAGTGACAGTCCAAACTTCAGTGACCAGGCAATACAAAATGTAATGTAATATATGTACCAAATTCAGGCCTTATAAGCAATTATTGCTGTTTTTAACTTGGAGCTAAAGATGTGTGATTGCAGTTACCAAATTATTGACTGAACCCAGGTTTTGTGGCATAGTTTAACATTTGTAAAAATACTGCCTACAAGCATGTTCCAAATTTTAACATGCACCATGAGCAATCTCTCTCTCTCTCTCTCTCTATATATATATATATATATATATATATATATGATTTCTCAACAGTGAATTATTGAAAAAAAATGAAAAATGCCTTTTCGCTAGTCTCTGGTCAATTAGGAAATGCAGATTATGCAGGTGTGTGTTGCAATAAAATACACAAACCTCAGTAAAAGAGTAAAGGAGAGCCACTCCTTTAGCTCAGTCACATAATATCGCAGTAAGGCTGCCTTTCTTGGTATTTTGTGTTTAAAGATAATTAATTTTCTTTCTTTGAAGGATGAATACTGGTTGTCCTTGCTGTCCTACTGTGTGGAACAAGGGGCCTGTGTAGGGTGTAACTTGCCAGATCTACCCCAGCTTCAGTGCAGGGTGACAGTGGGGAGTAACACTAATGAATGTCAAGCCTCAGATGTCCTTTTGGACGGAGACACAGAGACAGAGCAAACATCAGCTAGTGAAAATTTAAACGAGACCCAGCAGAAGCCAGCAACTGAAGTCAGGACTATAACAGGTGGAGATTTGAATGTGCATTCAGTCACAGAGTCACAATTAATATATGTAACAGCAAGAACTGCAACTGTGACACTAAATCCTGACCCAGGCAAGGAGAAGACTTCAAAAGATTTGCTTCAGGAAAAGGAAGTTGCGATGGATTCTGATGGAGACCTGGGGGTGTCAGATGAAAAGCAAAACACAAACTCGTCAGATCAGATTGATCTGTCTTCCATGGTACACACAAGTAGAAAGGCTCCAGAAGTAGTATGCATGACTTTTGATGAAATGAGCAACAGTTTATCAGACAGTGGAGAAGTGGACTCTGATTTAGATGTTATAATAGAGTCTTCCTCAGAGGAGGAAATTGAAGAATGAGGGATCTGCTTCTGAAATATGTTGTGAAGTAATTAGTCACTGAGTATAATATTTAGTGTATTGAGAAATAAGAGAATTCTTATCTGAGTAAGAAAATTATAGATTTAAAGTAGATGGTTAGTTACTGTAATATTGCATTTTTGAAACCATATCATATACAGCTTGTATACGATTTTGGTTACATGCAAGCAATTTTTCATTTTATTTATTTATTATTATAATTATTGTTTTGTTTTAAAGAAAGCATCTTTTTGAGCATAACTTTTTACACTTTCTTTGGGAGGAAAAAATTTGAATCATCTGGAATTAAAATCAATATGGACATTTTTTAAGTCAACAAAAAGCTTAATTGAGCAATGTGAAGAATGTTTTGTGTCTTAATTATTAGTTAGAAAATAAATAATAATTTGATATATATTGCAATCATGTAATTACAGTGATTAAAACCAAAGGCAAATTTGCCTACTTGTGCTCTTTTGTTTTTTCGTCTCCTTTCTTTCCACCATTATCACTGGTGTAAAGTACAGGATGATAGGTACAAGAATCTCATTTTGTAGTGAACTTTGATACTAGATAAGTTTTAAACCTTGTTTTATATAGTTAAGTAGTATATTTACCTAGTCTGTTAGTTATAACAAGATAAAGTTGAGATTTTATGGAGAAAATGCCATTTTTTTCTGTATTTCTCATAGAAAAGTCAGTTTTAAGAAATTTTGAGACGTGTATAGTTTAATATCAGGAGCTGGAATGTAATTACCAAGCCTGTTGATTGTTCCAGAGTAACAGATTAGAATTTTTTAAAAATCAAAGTGTGACATATTAAATTTCAATAAACGTTTATTTTGTAAATTTTACATTGTGTTTTGATTTATTACAATATTTACCAAGGAGATAATTCTTCTTGTATTTACAAAAAAAATCACCCGTTGAGAAATCACAGGCAGCGGCAGACTACTCGCAAATCTTAGTTATGCAAAGAGTACTTTTGATGCAACATGCTTATACAACAATTTGTCATCAAATTGAAAGAAGACCAAAAATAAAATCGGTTCTAAGAGATTGGTTTAGGTGAGTTTTGCGGACGTTCTGCAACATTGTGCTAGTTGTGATTGCACAATGAGAGCAGGATTGAGAAAGTATCGCAAAATCTCGGATTTCCCCCTTTCGAGATCAGATATGGCGACCTCCAGGATGGTGTTGGCAGCTCTCGCAATTTTGGCAGTTTTGCCGGTCTTTACCTCAGGTATGTTTAAGTGTATTGTTACAGAAACTACTCCAAGAAACAATGAGCAAAGATTGACCAAACACAATGACAATAAGGGCACAGTTTGCTTATAAAGTGCCCTCAAAAGATGCCGGTTGTGTGACGTGGCACGCAGTTGGGTCCAGCCAAACACAAAAACTGATAGTATTTCATCGTCAGTTATCTTTACCTAAGGATTCCACAAGGGTAATGAGTAAATTTAACTGTAAATGTCTCCATTCGCAACTGTTTTAATTGTAAGATGAGACGCTTCATGTCAACTTAACTATGTTCTAGCATGTATGGTTCTGCTTTTGGCAGTGTCGTCTAGCATTTGGTTTAAACAAAGTAAGTTAATTGTTACTACTTACACACAACTTTATCACAATTTTAACTGACATCACTACCACATGAACTTTTTTCCTCCACAAATTGATTCACTACGAATTGAACTTATTTAGAGTCAGAGTGTATAGGGGTTTGGTGAATCATGTAAAAGTCTGTGCAAACAGTTTGCCAACAACTGTTGTGTTTATTAATCTTTTTGTTATGTTTTCCTTCCAGGGGACACTTGCCTCCGCCCATCTGTTGTATCACAGACTTATACAAGCAGTGAAGCAATGATGGCAACCGAGACTGTAGTTATTGTGGAGTTTACTTTGACTTGTGCCAATAACTTGAAGGTATATATTTTACATTACATTACATACTTCTCCGTTATCAATTGAAAGTTTTAATTAGAAACAAGGAGTTAAAGAGTTAGAAAAATTCCTTGTAGTCCTATGTCTGCACACCAAAGTATTATGTCAAGACAAGGGGAGACATGAGCTCATTGGACCTAACTTTGTGTTACAAACCTCATTTAAGATATGCAACCAGATAAGAGAGTGCTTTCTTTTAGCTAGTTATATTTGCTGCCTGTAATCGGATGAAATGATAATGAAATTGTTCTAGGTTAAATCTAAATGCTTATCATATGGTGTTTGCATATAGTTCTGCATAATGAGAAAATTTGAATTTGATTTTCTTACTGTAAGAAAATGTTTATTGCCCTGTATATTTTAGGATGTAAATTTATATGCTGAGATTAACGGCCGCACCCTGCCAGCCACTAGAGGTCAAAATTCCAAGACATACCAGGTAAGACCCAAGACGTGTAATTACTCCACGTTCTATCAAAAAAGGCTAAAAACATGTATCGCAAATACACTGTAAGTTTATATCTAATTGTTCAGGGGTGTTTGAAAGGGATCAATATGAAAGTCATAATAACTTCGTTTTGGCCAAAAATACGATTTCCTGGAAAAAACGGCAATTTTCCCTTACTTACCAATGGTCAACGACCCCATTCCTGCATTCAAAGTTAATCCAGGGTTTTTTCCTAAACGTACGGTTTTTTGTTAAAATCTCTTAAGAGATTTTAACTGACAGAGCCCTCTCGTATCGAGCGATGGTTTCTGGTGACCTACTAAAAACCGCGGGAAAAGCAGACAACAACAACACTATATAACAATATTATAAGATTCATAAGATATGTGCGTCTTTTTGCTCAAAATGCATTTATATCTACAATGTGTGCAATTCTGGGCTTTTCGTTATCCGATGCACTGTACAAAACCTCGCAACTTACGTCTGAGGGTTTCCCTATTTTGGTCTCGAATGGACGCGAGAATCCGCGTGACACCTAAACGTCATTGGCAACGGATGCACTTGTCGACCGCGAAAAAAGGGATCGAAAGCCCAAGTGACAAGCACAGATTTTAGTTTTTCTACGATAACAGTCGTTTTAGTGGGAAAATGCAATAGAATATATTTCCAGGCGTTGTTTACAATGTATTTCTTGCGGAATTTTGAATCTCAAATGAAGAGTTATTATTGCTTGAAGTATTTGGCAATTACTATTTTTATTTATTTATTTATTATTTAATTTATTATTTTTTATTTAAACACTTGTGTTACATTAAAGTTCAATATTGATTCTGAATTATAAATTGTTTATAATTTTCAATTAATTTTTTTTTTCTTTATTATATAGGTGAGCTGGAGTGATGACCACAAGAACATACCTGCTGGTACCTATACAGTCAGATTCTTTGATGAGGACAAGTATGCAGCTTTAAGAAAGGTATGATTTGTGATATATAAAAATTATGTGCCTTGTAACCTAATACTGAAGGTGAAAGTGTAATATTGCATCTGTCAAAACACAAAATAACTGCATTTTTAAATTTTGAAAATCTTTTAACTTGCCTACAACAAGGATGCAACTTGCCTACAACTAGGATCTATTAAGTGATTATTGTTGCCAACTTGCCATGTTTATATTTTGACCCAAGAGACTGTTTTTGAAATTCATTTTTGAGCAGTTTAAAAGAATCCTGATACAATTTTTTTAATATGATCTTTCTGAAACTGATTGCAGTTATGTAGTGGCACTGCTAAAAAGTTATCATTCTATTCTCATCTGGTGAAATAAAATAAGTCTAAAAGCAGGATGTGAGCACTCGTTCGGTTTCTTATGTTTCCGTTATTTTCATTTCAAGGCCCAGAGAAGTGGAGACAACACTGCTGATATTGAACCACTCTTCACCATTGATGTCAACCACAAGGTTGGTAAATACTGCTAATCAATTTGAAAGTTCAGATTATGCATTACAGAATATGGTTTTCCAGGCGTGGAAAAAGCAAATTGTGAAAATATTGGGTTTCTTTATGATATACTTGAATTAAATACATTTTATAAGAAAAAGTGCCAAATAAAAGGTAAAATAATTATGTTTTTCACTGTCTCACGAGTAATTATTGTAAATTAGTAAATCATTTCTTAAAAGGCTAAACATGTTATAACTTTTTTCTTCCTTCAGTTCCTTTCACCACTATACTGTATGGCAGATATTTTGGATGTTCTGAACATTTTATACTTACTGTGTCATTTACCATATTTCAGGGCACGTACAGTGGACCGTTTATTCAAGCAGAGGCCTTGGCCACCTGTGTTGCTATTCTAGTATGGTACCTGGCATACAGTACCAAAAGCAACCTTCAGTCATAACAAAAACTAAAACATAAATAGACTGTAAGACAATGTTAAAATTAAAAACTTTGCAATTCAAATTTTTATATTGAGCAGCTCTTTTGTAGGACTTCAAAATATACCATTAAATGTTGTAAATTTTTGCTTAATATTTGTAAGGCATTTCATTTGAATATCTTGACTTTTTCCTACCAGTGCACAATGCCATAAAATCAGTCGCAAGTATTTGAGTATTTAAATTTATACATCATTTCACAGACGTAAAGAAAAAACTGTGTTGTAATACACATTCCCAGATGTACACACAATTTACTAATGTAAGAAATACATAAAATGACAATAAAAATTTGTAAAATCATTTTGAATTTATTTTTGTTCTCCATTGTCAATACAGTAAATTCTTGTGAAGAAGCACCAATTTTGCATGTTCCAACACCTGGTCCAGTTAATAGTAGATTTTAAAAGATAATTAAATTATTAGTATTATATTACTGTAACAATATCCTAGTATCTAATTACCAGCCAACAAAAAATGAACTACAGAAATAACCAAATCCAAATTTTTGTATAATTTGTAATAATGCACAACTTGAGGAAATATTCTTGATGATCCCTGAAATGATACATGCTGAAACAAATGGCATTTCTCAAAAAATACCATCTTCAATTTTTCCTCCTGTAATCTAAAATTAGTATAAAGATAATTCAAGTCCAAGTTGAGCAGAATTCTGAATACAAGCCGCAAAATTTTTAAAATTAAAACTTGAGCAGTATGAGTATTCTTTTCATCGTTGTTATTCGTTTTCAGCCCACCCACCCCCACCAACACCTAAAGCCCATCCACAGATGCCAATTATACAATTTCTTTCACTTACAATTTAAAAAAATTGATCCCAAAATAAACTACCAATTTTCCAAAAGCTATTTTGATAAATTCTTATCATTTTCTCAAAAACTTGAAAAGAACTATTAAAAAAGTAGGAATTGCTGAAAGACCAAAAAGGTACAAAATCAGATACAATGTGGAATGAATCTTTTCAGTAAGAACCCATTTAGCATCAGCTAAAATTCTATCTTTCATGTAAGATTTTAATCTAGAAATGGTTTCCTCTGTAACAATTGGTAATTTTGTTTGAACCATTAACATTTTATCCAAACTTTGCAAGGTGTCTGAATACACAACTTCCCAGGAGAGATGTGTTGAATTGATAATTTTCAACTTTCCAAATGCCTCTCGATTTTCACTTGCCATTCTGTATGCAGTCCTAGGGTTTTCTTCGTCATAACTCTCCGGGACAACTGATATCCCTGTTAATGCTGTAATAATGCTAACAGGGGCAACTGGATTTATATAATTCCTCTGCATGACTACATTTTCATAAAGGGGGTAGTACCGCTCATAAGCATGCACATGTCCAGAAAATATCAAATTCACTTTAAAATCATAAAACATTCTTTCCACATTCTCTCTTATGACGGAGTCCTTGATGTTGCATTCCTGGGTGAACTTAACTGACTTAGAACAATACAGTGGTTTATGGCCTAATACAATAATCCAAGGGCGTAGAGTTCTCTCTTTGTTAGCTTGGGATAGGTCTTTAAAAAGCCAGTCATTCTGGATCTTGGCAACCTCTGGGTTGGACTGATACAGAGCAGTGGAATAGAAGACAAAATGGGCCTGCCCAATGTTGATGCTATACCAAAGTTTATCCAGGGGAATAGGCCAGGGGGAATGAGGCATTGAAAAGCGGTACATGTAGTGCATGAATTTATCAAAGGCCTCGTGATCCCCTGGACACGTCATGTAAGGAGTACGGGATGCAATACCTTCAATGCGGTTGAGAAATTCGTCTCCCCTTTCTCCGCCATTGCTATTGAGATTGTATGCAAAGTCTCCAACATGGAATACAGCTGAGATATTCCCTCTTTGAACTTGGGTCTGGACTGGTCTGATACATTTGGAACTGCTGCCCATGTCAGCCAGAATTATCACTTCAGGAGTCCAGTTAGAATCTTCTGACAGAGTTCTAAAAGAAAAGGTCCTGCTGGAATACCTTCCCGTTCTCACTTTATAATAATAAACAGTATCCAATTCCAGGTTTCGTAACTGAACTCTGTGGATGTTATGCATCCCCTCTTCGTTGGTTTTCACAAATTTCTTGCTTTCACCCAAGGCAACCTGATCCAGCTGGGAACTTTTGCCATACAGTACCCCAGCCTCCCCTTCCACAACTGTAGCCCACATCACTGTCATCTCAGACAAAGTGTCGCCCAGCGAAATGTGCACCTGGTAAGGTTTTGATCCATCATGGGACACCCTGGCAAATAGATTCCACAGCGGGGAACTTATTCCAAAGAGCAACATGAGAATAATCATGAAAATTGCTAAATGTTTCTTGTTGCATCCCCACGAAGTGTCACTTGGATATCTTTTCCTCATCATTTTGCCCTGGTAACATCTACTGTAAGCTAAAAAAGATAAAATTTATTCTCTGGTTATACATACTGTGGTTGATGAATATAATATATTTGTCCTATAGTCTTAGCAGAGACTATCCACAATATTTTGCTTATTGTTTCACTTTAAACTAGAAGTAATGAAGCTATTTAACATATATTGTTGAGGGGTTTTTTTTCTTTTTTTTTTTAGGGGAGAAGGGTTAAAAAGTACAGAGGTGAACATTTTAATGGTACATGTAGTCAGATATTGACAACTGTGAAGACAGATGCTGTAGTAGAATATATTCTTCACATCAGAAAAGTGTTGGTAAAAAGCTAATGCAAGTATCATTTGAAATACCGGTAAAAAAAAAATTAAATGAAAAGCATACCTCAGGTACGAGTAGACTCCACTGGGTATAATATGTACGTCTACTGTAGCCTGCAGCCCGAGCACTGCACGTACGTATACTCTAGTACGTTATACTGGTAGTAGTCTGTACAGTACGTTAGGTAGCCTACTGAGTAGCACGTTACAAATACCAGTAATTTATCTTACTTTAGACTGCTAAATAAGACACGGGATAACAGCACGGTACAAACCCTAGTAAACATACAATTAGCTATTCTGATCTCCGATGCTAGTGTCCATCTTGCTGAAGACGAACACGTACAGTACATACAATACCTTGATTGTTTACGTTTTCTTTGCCACGTGCAGTGCAGCTTCAAAAATGGGTCAAGCAAAAGTCGCTGTCAACTGAAAAGCTGGTTGACTAAACATTGCAGCATTTTTAAAACATAATAATGGAAACTTTATGTATCCGCTACAAAGTCGAAATAACTTGGTGCTAAAAACATTTAACGCTTTAAATTGATAATACACGAACAAACCAAAGTGAACCGGATATTTTAGCAGTCCAGAATGGGCGTATCTTGTCTAAATCGCCATCTTTCGATCAGCTAAGTAATCGATATTTTCATATATACGGAAGCTTGTGACATCAGATTAGGGGGTCCTGAAACGCCTGTCGTCTGGTGGCATGAACCTGACGGAAGTCTCGTCAAAAGTTCCTCGGGAAGCAGTAAAACCAACAGAACCAGAACCCCGCGTGAACGCAGTTGTCGATGCGATTTCTGACCACTCGGAAGCGTTTCGCAACTGGTTTTGGGAAGCAGAATTTCGCTTGAAATTTATTGTCATTCTGAGCATAATAATTGTTGTTAATAGTATCCTCATAAAAATTGCTTGGGCCATATACGGCGAAAGGATTGTCGATTTCTTTAAGAAACAAGGTAAGCCATCGTTTATATTTTTTGTGGGACATTGTAACTAGTACATTGCATATCAACGGAACCTTAGATTAAAACGTCAAAAGACGGGGTCGTCTACGCCTGTGAATATGAATTTGATGTTAAAGATCGTAACTCACACATATAAATTATTTACCAGTACATTTGCAATTCTACCCTCAGTCTTTTATCGATTATCCATTCACTTATAATGAAACTTAATGTTACACTAAGTCTTTATATAATGTAAGTGAAAGAACCTACTGGTACACTTGCCAAAACATTACATGTATTTTCACTTAATAATGAAACTTATTGTTACACTTTATGACAAAGTCCTGTAATGAAAGTGAAACAACCTACTGTTACACTTGCCAAATACACAATTTTGTGAACCTCACAGTTTATAGCATGATAATGATATTACACATGTACAGTAGAGGATTTATTGATTTCAAATCTTGAATTGTAAAGTATCATGGTGTCATTTTAATTTTCAGGTGTATCAGAGACAGGATACACACAAGATTCAGTTCCTGTAGACACAAAAGACAGCGTGAATTCCACTCCTCGTTCTCAGCACTTGAAAAGAGAGTAACACATTTTGAAGTAACAGGTTTGTATGGTACATGTACATATGAATTCTCCACCTTTAACTTCCCATCCCACTGGTCAATGCACTGGTCATGTTGACCACTGGGCTTAAGAACACTGTTAGTCTAAATGTCCAGTTTATTTACTATGATATGCCAAACCTACTTGTTTATAGTTTTTGTGGTAACTAACACCACTGGTTGTTTACTGGTACATGTAGTATCTTTGCCAGTTGTTTAAGATAATTTACTCAAAGAAAATGAAAAGCATTAATTGAAAGAATAAAAAAACTAATTGAATTCAATGATTCATGTTAAAAGTGCTTACAGCTGATTTCATTAGGTTCCAGCAGGGCTCTTTCTAATGTAATCTTTTCTTTAGCCAGTAGTTAGAAAATCTTTTAACCAAATCAAAAAGAGAGCCAAATTTTTTCGAAATGCTTTGGACACTGTGTAAGGAACATTACATACTGTGACAAAATTTTTCATCATTTCAGAAAGTTAATTGACCATCATGGCAGCTATCAAACGATTTTTTGAGAAGAAAAAACTAGATGTCAAGTTCAAGAAGGCTGGTTCTGGCCACAAACTGACAGAGGACACCAGGAGCTTGTCACCACAGCCAAGTCAACGCCCTGGCACCAGTCAGGGGCGGCCTCAGGCTGAAAGCGAGGCTGCACGAGCTGCACGGGAGGCAGCTCTGGCTAGGATGTCCCAGCCAAGACCAGGTGATTGGTCTATATGGGAGGGTTTACATTGTCTTTGTTTGTCCTTTAAGATAGATATGAAGCAAGAGTAAATGCCCTATAATTTATATATGAATTATTTGCACCAGTTTCTTACATTATACAAATACACAGTAGATACATGAACCACAGAATGCCCAAACTGGCATACCAAAAACACTGTAGAAATTGTTTGAAAGTTTTTGACTGTATTGTCTCACTATAATGTCACTATATGTCCACTCACATCTAAAAAAAAAAAAAACCCTAGTGATGGCACATGATGTAATGGTCAGCTCAATTATTTTTCTTAGATGCTCAGACAGTATCAGGTAATAATGGTAATTATTATAACGATTTGCTTATTTATCTACAGGTACTGCAAATAACCAGCTGAAGGCTCTGAAGTTGCAAGCCAGGGCAGAGTTGGAGGCTGAGAGAGCTCTCCAACAGGGGGCAGCAGCAGCAGGACCCACAGAAGTTTACAGAGATGGTGCTCCACTGCTGGAACAAATAGGTGGGGATCTGTCAATGCAAAAAGGGACCCTTTACACACCAATCTGCATCTAAACTCCTGAACTGGTCCTAACATACAATTTTGCAATGGGGTGTTTTACCCCCTTTCACGAGTTCACTTCTGTGTAGCATTTTGGACCAATTCAAATTAATTTGGTTAACTGGCTGTGTTGAGTGCAGGCTGCATTAAGTGAAATCTTTTATAATTCTCTCTGGATTTTTTTATGTTGATATGCGTGACAAACAATGTGAGAAGGGCCTAGGAGTGGGACCAATTGTACAGAGGTGTTTATGAAGAAAGTTGAGACTGAAAATTTAGTTCAAGGATTAATTAGTCATTAGAAAAATAATACAAGACCCCCCCCCAGCTTGTTGTTCCACTATGGTCAGCATTGGGTACTCATGGTTTAAGCTCTCCGTTTCATTCATTTCAGGTGTGTATTACAACTGCCCTATGGTCACCCCAGAAGTTCTGCCAAAACAGGACATGGAAAAGAAGATAGAGGAGTTCTTACTGGCCCAGTTGGCCGAAGAACCACAGATGACGTCTGCTCTAATGATTCACACCCTAAATAAAAATGCTGAGAAAGTGAAACTTTGCATTGAAACCCTCTGCAAATACCTCGATAATATCATTGCCAATCCCGATGAAGAGAAATTCAGGAAAATAAGAATCAGTAATAAAGCATTCCAAGAAAGGGTGTGTTCCTGTGACGGCACTGAAGAGTTCATTCAGTCCGTTGGATTCAAGCAAAGAAAACTGCCCTTTCAGGACGGGGAGGACGATTTCTACGTCCTGGACGAAGATCAAGCCAAAGACACGGAGAGGCTGAATACTCTGAAGGAAATTCTTCTCGCTGCTGAGCCCATCAAGGCGGAGCTGGACAGAGGGCTTCGCCTGTTTCATCCCTCCCCAAAGGCAACTAAATTTGAACTCCATAATGATTTTTACAACATCACTCCAGAGGAGATGAGGAAGGAGCAACAGCTCAAACAAGAAGCCGTGGAAAAATTAGGAATGCTGCGCACTAAAGCCATGCGTGAGCGGGACGAGCAGCGAGAACTGAGGCGATATCGCTTCGCCTTGGTACGCGTGCGCATGCCCAATGGCGTCCTCTTACAGGGGACTTTCAGAGCCACTGAAAAGGTGTCGGTGTTGGCGGAATTTGTCAGGGACTATTTGGTTAACGATTGGCTGCCATTTACCCTCTCCACGGCCACTGGACAGAAACTGACCGAAATGGACTCTACTTTAGCCGAGGTTGGGATTGCGCCGGCAACTGTGTTAAATTTTGCACTGGATCCCAGCGTTGTAGCAGAAATTAAATCGCAGCAAGGAACTTTCGATGACAAGAACTTGATAAAGCCAGAAATTATGGTCCTCATTCAAGACCTGTAGTTTAGCTTTGTCAGAATATATTGAGAGAAGAGTTATTTATATTTTTTTCTTCACTGAAACTTGGGATTGGGATTAATACTAAATCTTCATTTTTTTTCTGTATGTTGTTATTGTACTACTACTGTTTGGAGCACTACATGTATTATGACAATTCTGCCTTCGATTCTTGTTCATGTTCGTATGATTTCCATACAAGAAACGGGGAAGAACGAGAAACAGGGAAGAGTTGGACCTGTTGTGATGGGACAGAGATGCACGGTACAGAGAACAAAAAAAAAGAAAAATGTTATAACTGGACTTTTATTCATATCTATAATAACAGAAAAATAGTTCGAAAATTGCATTTACACATACGACGTTTGTGATAAAATTTGTGTAGGCGAAGTAAAGTGAGATATGCAAAGTTTCACTTTCTCTTCTTACCTGTTGTAGAACTTGTCGCATTTTTTCGTGTAATCTCCTTTAGTTTATTGATGGATGGTGGTGCTGTAAAATGTTATGATATTAAAGAGAATATATAAAACCAGTAATTACTGGAGTTTCTTTCTCTCTCTTTTTTTTTTTTTTTTTTTTTTTACCGCGCTCTGCGGGTTTTATATTTTAACCACAACAAAGCTCGGTATGCAAATTATGACATTTCAAAGGTTTTGCTGTTTTAGAACTTGTTTTAAAGATCAGTTTCCATATTCTCTCTGTCGGCGAACGTGCCATGACCACTTGTCGCAATTAGTAGTAAATAAATGAAAAGAGATATAGCAACAAAGAATGATTGTGGTCATTTGGCGAGTTTTTTCTCCGCATTCCTGTTCAAAAGAGTCCTTACAGCTTGAGAAGGGTTTGCAAGGCGACGGTTTAGCGACGTTTATACTGCAAGCACTACGTTTTGCTTTCTGTTTCTACTACAGAAGTTGCCGTTTTACCGGGGATTGTGCACACGTTTTTGCCTACCACATTTCCCACCATTGCCTACCACATTTCCCGACACGCAGCTTCATATGCAATATGTCGTGGTTGGTGTTACTGTACTCTCTACGACTGGGTTCCCATGCCTAGATCGATTCAACATGATCGGTCTTACTCTACGGAGATTCACGCTAAATTGCTATCAACTTTAAAAGCGGCTTAAGGGGACCGTTCACATGAAAAATGTATTTCCTAAAAATCTAAAAATCTATTGGCGGTATCTTGTGATCTGTGCCCTGAATACCCCGCGGCGCAATTACTGGCAGCGCAAAGCTGTAATTAATTCTCGGCTGCGCTCGAAGGAGATTCTCATACCTTTTCATGTGAACGGTCCCTAAATGTCTGTCACGCCTATCGAATCAGCTAGAGGGTAATTAACTTTCGTGCACTCTCGGCCTCCGGTAGTTAATTACCCCCCAACCGCATTAGTAGGCGTGACAGACATATAAGCCGCTTAGTTGATAGTAATTTAGTGAGAATCCCTTTGGAGATAGATCGATCGATACGAATGGTCCCGTAGTGCGAGAGGTCTTTCTTGCTGGTACGTTTGAATCGTTTGAAGTACTTCGCACAATATCATAACTACTAGATCTGGAAGGGCCTCTGGTGGGGAGTAAAAGTTTGAGAGGTGTCTACGTTTTTCGTTTCCAAGAAGAGAAGCCAAACGCCAATGATAATTAGTCTTGGAGCGGAGAGTTGTCTTCAGATTTATTTTCTTTGCATGAAGTTCATTACCAACCACTTCCGTCAGTAACAAGACGACAGTTATTGAGTGGAATGTCGATTTATTGCTCTTTGTTTGCAACAATAATTAAAAAATACATAGCTTAATATATAAGTTGACGAGAACATGATTATCACATGCGCTTGCATAGTCTGCATATTAACATTTTTTTTTTACAAAGGGAGATATGTGATGTAAAGCTACCATTTGAATTGAATATAAAAATATGGCTTTGAAGTTTTATTTCGACCTAAGAGAGGCAGCATAATTCTTCTTATAATATAATACATAATATATTTAAATATATTATAATATATTTTTAATTAGGGTAGAAATTAAGAGGTGCTTAAAAACGATATATTATGTTGATTGTTGTCAGAAATAGCAGGTAAGGTGTAGTAACGGATTTCCAACGATGGCGCCATGACATTGCGGTTAAAGTCTACCATCTGCCAGGGCCACAGATTGATTTTCACAATATATTTATAGATATGTCTTAAGATAAAAAGACGGTCATTTTACTATGGCTTTTGGTCATTTTCCATGTAATACCTCCCACCCTGGAAGAGGGTAGTTTACGTCGTTGATTCGCCGTTCGCGATCACGAGGCTCGAAGTCGCAAACGACAATTACTGTTACCGTTATATTTCAAATTCTAGCTTAATGCCCGTGCCCTTTGTTCGTTCTTCGTGCAGGATGTCGAAGTGCTCGTTCTGGGCCACTGTGAACCAATTTTTCCAGTCGCCCACCTTTCCTGAATGACAAAAATAAAATTTTAAAATGCACAAACTATCACTATATACTGAATATAAATAGCATAATAATCGAGATTTTTAAAACTTAAAGGTTTTTTTTTATCAATAAGCCCTGTTGTATATAATTATAAATCGGACTGTCACATCGTTTGTTGAAATTTCTCCTGGACAATACTTTCTTTTAGTTTTGTCACCATGTGTATATTTCATAATCTTGATGTATATGCATGTTTTAATCCCTTTTTTCACTTTTTTATTGTTCTGGCGATTTTAGCATTGTACAGTCCAACTTTTAGTTAAAAATGTCACAATCATTATCAAATTGCCTGATGTACATTTCAAAACAGCAGTACCTTTTCTATACATCAAGTTTTCCCCTTTCCAGCACTTAGGCTCTGTTGGAGTTTTCAAGGTTTTCATTTTATCGAATGCACAGGCGTCTGCTATTGCTTTGTATAATTCCTCGGTTCCCGGCCGTCCAATAAACTCTGCTATCTTTCTCACAGCAGCCACACTGTCCTACAATGAATATGATTCAGGATTATCTAAACGATATTACCTCTCTCTCTCTCTTTCTCTCTCCCCCCATACTCTGACACACCCTACCCCAATCACACACACACACACACACACCCTGCTTCCCCTCTCTGACACCCTTAGGGTGCATTCCCAGAGATTTAGATCGGTTCACGCTAAATTGCAGTCAGCCGAGCGCGCACCATAGTTAATTACCCCCTTACAGCTTTTAGTAGGCGGGACAGACGCTTAAGCCGGCTAAGCTGACAGTAATCTAGTGAGACACCCCACAGGGATAGATCGATCTAAAATCTGTGGGAATGGGGTCTTACACACACACACACACACACCTTGCTCTCTCTCTCTCTCTCTCTCCCCCGCCCTTCCACCAGACAGCCCACGCCGCTACTATTGGTTTAACTCTATTTAACTTACTTTAATCATCTCCTCGTAGGTCAGGAATAACACGTTGGATTTATTGCGAGCATTTTCCCACCAAGATAGAACGTTTTCCCACCACATCCCCCATTCGACTGAAATACAAAGAGCAGAGGGCGATTTTTTTTACATATTAACAGACATGACTTGAGCTTGACGAAATTAATGCTTGGCTGAAAATATCTTATACACAACTGCTGCATTTACATTGTATATTAAAATTTAAAAAAAACTGAATTTACGCACGGAAGGTAAAAATGGCAATAATTGATGGCAGTCCTTTTTCAGTTTCGACGGATCCAAATTCACAGACTGCTCGAGAAACCACGTCTGGATATAATGTTATTTGCGAAAAGGAGAATTTGAAATTCTGCAGGCAGAAAGTAAAAAGCAAATTCTGTTTGAAGGAAGTGATTCGCATTAAACATTAATGACATTAATTTTGATCCCGGTTATTGATCACGATATACTCTAACAACGATAAGCATCTAAGAACTTATAATGTAGTATTTCATTCGGGAAAAATGAATTAAAAATTACACTATGTTTTTTAAAACTCAAACCCACATTTAGGTCCTTCCGTAAATAACTTGAAAAATCCATTCCACGTTCCTTCGTATTTGTAGTCAATGATCCCTTTGCTATGGTTATAAAAACTGACAGCGACATCTTTCGGATTGCGCATAACATACACGATCTTACAGTTCTTCCGCCAAACATCGGGCGGTATTCGGTGATACGACAAATGGGTGTCCAGTACCCTCGGGGAGGGGATGTTGTCCAGATGATCCTGGTCTCTTTCCTCGAAGAATCCCATAGTTTTGGGGATGTCGTTTATCTTAGCGTTACCGTTTATCAGCATGTGAACTATTTCCCAGGTCCAATGTGTGCCTGAAACGGACAGTAAAAGTTCCGAGTGCTCTCCTGTCAGTGGCCTCGTTACAGAAGTACATACAGACATTAGGTTATAATTATAATGGTAACGGCTTCGAGACTGGGGTGTGAGAGAATTTTTAATCCTCACCTGCGAAAATTGGGTTTGAACATTCCAGCGGAATTTTTTGTTGAATGTTGTAATAGAAAAGTTCTAAAAGTTCATAAAACATTTTTATTTTATTCATCTAAATGCCCAATTTGTGATTAAATATTGGATTTCAATGATTTCAGCTATACAAGAATCATAACTCCACTTGCATTTGATATTAAAGTCATGAGAAAACGAAACCGAAAGCGCAGTGGGTTCTGTATACCATACCTGACTTTGGATAAGTGCTCACCCAGACGTCATCTGGCCTGGCTTCAAACTTATCAGCAGCTGCCAGCCGTTCTTCTATGCCGGGAAAGTCGCAGTACATCTCTCCTGGACGCACCTCGTTCCACGTGATCTCGTGACCCTCCCCGTCTTTCACTTTGACGACTGGCATTTCGTCTGTCTATAAGTCTGTTATGATAAAAAAATATGATAGTGTTGTACCCTCTACCAGGGTCACAGATGGATTTTTTCACCAGATATCCAAAGATGTGTCTCGAGCTCACTCATGACCCGATTCTCTGTTCGCACTAGAGAAAAGTACACGGGTGATTTATCCTTGCAGCCCTGGTAGCACAAAGTTCATGCGCTAGCACTCATATTGACGATTTTGATATACATACTGGCTGTCAGAATCGTCAATGGGAGTGCTAGCGCATGAATTTTGTGCTACGGCCCAGGTAGAGGGTAACATTTTTGAGATAAAAACATAATTGGCGGATCCTGGGAGGGACACAAGTGGGTAATGCCCCACCCCCCCCCCCCCCCCCCCCCCCCCCCCCCCCCCCCACCCCCCCCCCCCCCCCC